TTAAAGTGGATGTTGACTTCCTGCAACCTGGCCACTCTTGGGTGATGGGTAAAGGACAACTTCTCCGTTTCTCCGGAGACAAGGGGGGCTGGAGATTGCAGACAAATTTATCTCTTAAACTAAAAGAAGGAGACCTCGATTATGCAAGAGAGGGTGAGGCCAAGGGTGGGGGAGCAAGTTCAGTGACTTTCCCAGAATCACATCGTTCGTTCTTGAGGATGTTGGGCCGAAAACCCAGGTCTTCGGCGCCCTGTCCTGGTGCTGTTTCTGCCACACAGTGTTGCTTGTCAAATACCCTGTGGCTCTGGGCGTTGTGGACATCATGTCTGGCTGGTTTGGCAACCAGGGAACTGAGCAATTTTCCCTCACGCATTCAGATTGGCAGATGCTGGGTGGGAACTTGCAATATGGTTTGGGGGGGGGGGCGTGGATACAAGGGGGCAGTACTGAAGCCAGAGTAGAATGTCCCCAATTAGTCCCCCTCCCACTCTCTTTTTATAACAATTTTTGCTTTCCTGGAACCAGAATGCAGCCAAGGCTCCCGAGTTGCCCCTTCATCGTGTTTTAAGTAACAGACCTGGTTACCCGGTTGTAAACAGCAAATGTGTGGCAGGTTTTTAAGCTTTAATTTCTCAGCCTTTAGTCAGTTTTCAGAATTTTCCAGTTACGTTTGTTGTTATAATATCACTCAGAATCATTTTATGAACCACAATAGTTGGCCTTCAGTTTTCCTTTAAGACTGCAGGTGTGTGAAAGAGACGTCTCCCCGTCTAACGCACCTGAACTGGACTCCTCCTGGAAACCCGAATTCTTCTTGGAGCACTTGGAGAAGGAACTGGACTGAACCCATGGTGAGTGGATCACTGTTCTCTTGAGGGAACAACATTTTGGGAGGTAATGAATTCTGCGCCCAGTGTTCCAGTCTGACACTGAAGGAACCACCCAGAAAGAGCCCTCACCTGGCAGGGAGTAGAGAGAGCGGTTGTCTTGCTCTGGTGGCCGCTGGACGGAACCCTGGCTTGATCAGGAGACCAGACTTCTGGTTTCCCAGCCACTGGCCAGTGGGGTGGCCTTAAGTCCCTCGGGTCCCCCCTCTGGGCCCCACTTTCCTCCCTTGTAAACGTGGGGTCGGAGCGACGGTTTAACACACACACTTCCTCACATTCAGGCCCTGTCTCCTTAGGAGGACTTACATCCATGTTACTCAAGCCCCTTGGAAATCCTGTCAGCCGTAAGAGCAGGCCATAAAGGCCGTTTTTATCTGGATGTTCCTCTTGTTTTTAAAAAAGCTCTTTTGGGGGGCATATATTGTTGACCAGCAAAACTGCCTTCTAACTGGCATCTCCCCCTGTCTCCTTTGCCCCCGCCCCCTTGCCCCCAGGACGCCGCCCGGCACACAGTGGGCACCAGCGAGGGCTGCGTTGCCTTCCATTCGGTGGTCATTTGCATGACTCAGGCTACCTGTCCGGGTCACATTTCACTTAAGGTGCGTCTCCTGTTGGCGCCACCAGGCCTTTCAGCTGGGCCGGGGCGGGGGTGGGGAACTTGGAAGCTGATGGTCCCAGACTCTGTTAAAACCAGGTCCACAATAATGTACAGGTGCCATTAGTGGGTTCTGCGGTCTTCACGTCAGTCCTTCCACTAAGTCCTGGAAGGAGGAAAAATAAGAACTAATGATAATGAGCTAATAATAATAAAAAACTAATAATAATCACCATATAACAAACACATGGCATTTCCCACATGCCAAAGAGTTTCTCTAGAACCAAGAGGGGCATCCGAATAAAAAAAAAAAAAAGTCTTGTCAAATCTTAATTCACTTAATCCTCTTTGTGATCCTATTGACTCAGAATAGGTACTATTATTTTCCTCATTTTACACCTGAGAAAATGGAAGACTCAGAGAACTTAAGTAACTTGCCTAAGGTCACACAGCCATTGAGTGAAGAGAGGTGCGCCTTGTCTGTTGGAAGCAAAGTCCCTTCACCTCAGAGTGAAGCAGGACTTCTATGGGGACTCTCTCCAGGCTTTGAGATTCAGTTCCGAGTTTAGAATCACTGGTGACATGCAGGGCTGGGACCCATGATCCCGCTTCAGTGAAAAGCCACACGCTCCCAGGAGGGCTGACTCTTCCCGTGATCCTTGGACTGTTCCATATTTCCCCTTCTAAATGCTTCTTTTGCGCTATGAACTTGACTGAGATGTATGTAGCTTAGCGCTGGAAATCATAGTTTTGCAGAGGGCTCCGAAACCACATTAGAAGGGCTCATTGGCACTTAATTAGCCTTTATTCATCTAAGGCAAAGGAACAGCCACCCATTAAAAAACAAATTATTGAAAGAGGAATTCCAAACCTTTGAAGGGGAGAGGCTCGGGTCCCACCCCCTTCCCTGCGTGCCTCCTGTCACCGATGGGCCAGCGGCCCAGGTGCCCTCTGGGGACCGCGGGCCACTGGCGGCCGGGTGTCATGCTCTCCCATGCATTGATGTATCATCAGTAGAGTAAAAAAAAAGGGGGGGGCATCTTGAGGGCTTTTGAGAAGAAAAAAAAGGGTGACTACTCAGGACATTTTGTTAAGGGAAGAAAATTGTGAAGAAAAGGGTCCCCAGGAGGGGGCGGAGGGCTTGTGAATGTGGCCTTGTCTGGCGGTTCTTTCAGCTGAAACCTGGTGCTGGCGTTCCGAGTTCAGTTCAAACTGTCACCTTTAGTTCTCTCTGGCTTTTCTGCCCTCGGCCCCGAACCTCAACAGATTGGGGCTTATTTACCTATTCACACTCGGCCGTGGAAGCTCATTAATAGGCTTATTAGCAACACCATTCACGGGAGGCCAGAGGCACAAGGGGCCTGAGCCACTTGAAGGGGAGAGAGAAAAACTAAAGAGATTATTTTCTCATTCAGAAGCCTCGCTGGTGTGAAAGCCTTCCTAGACCCTCTGAGGTTACTTGAAGCCTAAATATGATGACAGAATGAGTTAGGTTTTTAAAAAAATTCCAAACATGCTTTTGCTTTTCTCAAAACTGAGGAGTTTGCTGCTGTGAGCTTCGCTCACTTAGAGACGGTCACTTTGAAGGGGGAAAGGGGCTTGTGATGGATGGGTGTCTTTTCATCCCTGTAAAGAATAAATTCCGCAAACTGCTCCTGGACATTAAAGTCGACGTTCTTATTTGTCGTTTTCAGGAGAAGGCTTCCTTTTTATTCAGGGTGCACAAAGCTCTTGGTGGCCGGGCACAGGGGTGAGGGCTTCCTGCCCCCGTAATTTATGTGAGAATGTGCGAACTGCATCCTCAATGGCTGATGGCTACGCTGTCCCGCTGTCCCGGGACGGGAAGGGATCCATCCTGAGACACTGGAGTTTCCCGTTGGTGGTGAATATAAAGATGTAAGGGCCAGCCCCCATTTTGGGCAGGCGGACATTCACATCTTGTTTTCTGTGGCCCAGGGTCTAAGAAGTTGTCTAGTGTTTGCACATTCAGAACCACTTAGGTGGGAGTGGATAGCAGAGGGTCTCGGGCTGAGGGGTCAGTTAATTAAAAGGCCTGGGACGGCCTCAGGTCAGAAGACTTGACCAAAACACTCCCCCACCCAGCATATAGACGGATAATTTTGCTTGAAAATCAGACTATTATTTGTGCTGTCAAATCTCCAAAATATAATTTCACACCCATTTGCTTAAAGTCTTTCAATGGGTTTGATATTCCTGGCTTTTAAGTAATTTAGATAAGACGTTTTCTGTGTTGGACTGTGAAGAGGAATGATTTTCTAATGATGTGGCACCTTGAAAAAACATTTTCATGAATGTTACGAAGTATGTGCTGTCAGCGACCCTTGAACAAGTGCATTTCTAGATGCAGGGAAAGTCGATTTTTCAGGCCCGTTGGCTTCTCAGGGCTCCACCTACCTTTAGGCCTCAGAAGCAATCTAAAGCACTTCGGGGTTTAATGACCTTTTCTGAGGAAAAACAATTAAAGGTTTGAAAAAAAAAAATCTATACTGTCTTGAACTTAAGCATGACTGTGTAGGAGCTCGATGAATAAGGAGGAAGAAAAATTATATTAAAAAATAAATTATCCCGCAGGCACAGCCAAATGGAAGAGGTAAATGGAAATAGGAAATTTAACCAGTTACTGCTTGGAGTTCAGTTGAAGAATCTATTTATTAATAAGATTCAGAGAGGGAAAGCGATTTGCTCATCACTCAGCTTATAGTAGAAATGAGTCTTTAGAATCTTTCGAATATCTTTTTATTAATCCAGATATCTATTACTAAACAACACTCTTTGGGCTGCAGGTGTTGACTTTTTCTAAGAGAGTCATATTCGAAATCAGGTTCTGCCAGCGACCAGCTGTGTGGCGCCAGACCAGTTACTTACTATCTCTCATCCCCAGTTTCTACATCAGAAACTGAGACTATTACTCTGCAGGGTGCTGTGCTGATTAACAAGAATATCCTATCCAGGGTGCCCTGCCCATTGCGGGGCCTCCACAAACATTCGTTTCTTCCCTCAGTGCTATTGTTTTGAAGGACAGAAAAGTGCAATGTCCTGCAAACATGTCCAGGTTGCTTCCTCTCCTCCCAAAGTTCCAGTTGCATTAAATTTCTCCCTCCAATACCGTGTCGATGCGTTTTAAAGTCTCTTTAGGGTTAGGGCACGCGTTCTGTCATTTGTTTTCTGACTTGAAATTAAACAACGTAACGCAATCACCGGCAAACCGTTGGTGCGTCTAACTGCCAGGGAATGGAAGGGACCAGGCCTGACTCACAGAGGATGCTGCTGCATCTCTGTCCCGATCGTGGCCCGGCCCCTAGTCTTCCGCGCTGGTGTTTCGGGCGGCTCTCAGGCATCTGGAGCCGCGCGGAGTCGGGGCGGCGGGGCGCGCGGCGCTGATTGGCAGAGCGGGCGCCGCGGTCCAGGAAACGGCTCGAGTTTCAGCGGGGGCGTGACCCGCCGGGAGGGGGCGGCGGCGGCTGCAGCGGCGCGGGCGAGGCGGCGGCGGAGAGCGCGGCGGAGAGCCGAGCGAGCGGGCGGACGGTGGGTGCGGAGCGGGCGAGCGAGCGAGCGCGGCAGCCACAAAGCTGGGGCGCCGCGAGGTCTGCGCGCGGCGTAGCTTGCCCGGCGCGGAGACTTCTCTCCAGGCTGGCGGGGCCCGGGCGTCCCGAGGCCGCAGCTTTTCTGCGCGCTCAAAGCGTTTGCAAGTTGCGAGCAAAGTTTGGTGGAGGAAAAGCCAAGCCTGAGTCCTTTCTTCCTCTCTCTCCCCAAATCCGTGGGCAGCCCGCGGGCGTCATGCCCGCGCTCCTCCGCAGCCTGGGGCGCTCGTGAAGCCTCGGAGACTTGGCGCCGGCGAGGACCCCAGAACCACTTTTTCCTTTTTGGAGTTTTCCCGGAGCTCGTCGCTGGCTCCATCTCGATCCACACCGGGCGCAGGGGCAGAACCGATCGCCGAGGAGCGTTGCCATTCAAGGTAATCGCCGTGTCGGGTGCCGCGGGGAGTCTCGCCAGAGGGGAGAGTGGGCGCCGTGGGAGCTCGGGACGCCGGCTGCACCGTCTCCCAAGCTGAAGGAGCGGGGGACTGGCACTAGAGGCTGCTCCCTGTCCCTCCCTCTTTGGCCGCATGGGTGATGGGGGTGCGGGGTGCGTGCTGACGGCTGGGGTTTGGGAAGTTTTACCTCTACCACCCCCATCCAGATGCTGACATCTGCCCCAGCCGTTGACACCCCCTCCCTGTCAAACTCCCGCGGGCTTAGTCCGGCCGGCCGGGTGCGATCCTCCGTCCCCAGAGCCCGCGGACGAGCAGCAGGGCCGCCTAGCTGGTGGCTCAGCCCCGCAGGTCTGGGACTCAGAAGGGCATCTTCGGGGTCCTGTATTCTGGGGCCAGGGGAACGCCCGCCTTATCCCATGTAGGCCCTGGCCGGGAACCCTTCCCCGGGAGGGAATCACGAGTTGGGCGGGCGACTTCGCCGTAGGGTTGGCGATGCTCTCGGGGATGGCACCTTTAGGGAGGGGGCTGCTTCGGTTCTGCGACTTCAGTGCAGGGCGCCCCTCGTCCGCAGCGCGCCTGGGGCTAGGGGGCGAGCTGGACCGACTTTTTCGAGTTCGCTGCCTGCTGCCGCTCAGAATGTCGAAAGCGCAGGCGAGTTCTAACTTGCGCGCTCATTCTTTCAGCGACCGGGCTGCGCTGGGGAATCCGCCGAGGGCCCGGCGAGACGCTGGCAGTGACTCTCTCGTCCCGAGGGCTGGATGAAGGGTTCGGCCCGGGGACCACGAGGCTCCACTGTCCCCTCGCAGCCCTCCGCCTTGCACTCTCTTCTCCGGGCCTCCCTTCTTCTTGCCCGATTCAATAAAACCTGCCCTTAAAGGCAAACCTGCTTTCACACTCGGAGCACCCATTATGTGTTTGGTGTGCAACGCTATCAACATTTAAAACCCTATTGTCCCCTTGGTCCCAAATCCCTGTAAATCTTCCTCTGGCCTCGACTCATTTTCATCTGAAAAGCCTGTTTAGTTTGAATAGAAAAGCAATCAGGCGCCCCTCTCCCTTTCCCTGGAATGTCAATTAAAATGCAGATTTCTTTGAGCTCTTTAGCGCCCAGAGAAGGGGGGAAAAACAGGATATTCCAGGCAAACAAATGAAAGAAATGCTACAATGAAACCGAGTCCGTGGCGGAGGAGCTGTTGCCAGTTCGCATCTGCCCGCCAGCGTTAGCAGAGAGGCCACTGTGGTCCTGGGTCAGCCTATGTTTTATATTTGTATTTTTTGAGATTCAGTCTGTTGAGGAATGTCCTCTCCCCATTTGACCCCTTGATAGCTCCCTCTCCCGCTCAGCCGTGGGCAGAAGGGCAGTGCCCAGGAGGCTTTCAGCCTGGAGATAGATCTGTGCCCTGGGGGGACCTGGGCACCCCCCCCCCCAATAGCACGGTTGACTTTCCTGATGTGAAATCTACCAAGAACAAAGTGCACAAGTGGTCAGCATGGGCAAACCCCCCGCCCCCCGCCCAGGACAGACAGATACCGGCTTAGAGGTGGAAGCTCATTAAGGCGGGCACTGTGTTGGCTTGCCTTTTTGGAGCTGTTGTGGGGGGGGGGGGTTTGGGAATGTTCTGGTAAATTGAGGAGCCCACTGTAAACCCAGTGTGGGGACGCCTCCCCACCCAGGCTCTCTCGATTGTCCCTTTGCCCATCTTAGGGGCAGGCGGGTGCTGAGGTGAACATGGCCCAGGGTGGTCATGAAGAGCCATCCGTCACTGGGAGGATGACAACTCCTCCCACGGCCAGACTGAGAAGAGAGTTCCCTTTCAAGGGGAAAAATAAACACGCCGGGGCTTTCGCTGAGGCTCAGACTCCAGGAAGGATTATGGTATTGGAGGCAGGAAGCCGGGATTGTGGCCGCCAGCGGCATGCTGGGCCTGTGTTCCCAACACCGAGCCTCGGGACCTAATTAGCCCATCTAGGAGGTCCTTCCGTACTTCGGTCCACTTCGGTCCACTCCGGTGAGGCGCCGTGCAGACCTGCCACCTTCGGCCTGCGCCTGCTGGAGATTTGGGGAGGGGGCTGCCGCGGGGCCCGGACGTGGACTGTAATTCAAGTTTCTGGTACAATCTGATGGGATGAACGAATGGCTGGAGGTTGAGCTGAGGCCACTGTCCCCCTTCCTCCGGCCAGAGCAGAGAAGGCTCCACGGAGGCTGGGACTGGTGGGTCGGGGCTCGGAAGCAGCCTGGGTTGAAACCTGCTAGGAGTTAAGGTTGTGGGTGAAGTTGTCAGAGGCAGAAAATTCCCATGTGTTCTGGAAATGCTTAGTAAATCAATGAGAATGTTTGTGTACCTTAACCTCCCACACGTATGTAGAAATAGATACGGAATTATCTTTTGAGGCTTTTAACTTTAAGAGGAAAGAAAAGTTGGGAGGAAGAAAATCCTTCAAGCTATCTGGAAACACAGGGTGTGTACAGACGCACATTTTTGCTGTGAATCACACCATTTCACGTGTGCTGTCTTTGAGGCAGAGATTTTTTTCCCCCTGGAAATAGTGCGGCACTCTTTTTTCCCCTCACCCATTTTAACCATTCGTCGCAGCTAAAGGAGCAGTTTCTCTGACGTAGCTTTAGGGAGGCTCAGGCAGTGTTGAAATCCTCTCATAATTTGAAACATCAAGTCGCCCTGCAAAAAAGCACGGGGTTTAAGAGGTTTTTATAGTAAAGGTCTCCTCCCCTCCCCTTCTTATGAAATGTGGTTCATTCATAGCGTTCCCAGACCTGATTGCTTTAATCAAACTCGCTCAGGTTTGTGCATTTCGGCTCTACGTAATTGATACTGAACAAATGTAAAAGTTCTTTGACTATTTCAAGCCTGGAAAATTCTCTTTGCCTTTGGATTGCCTGGGTGAGCGGGAGGCTAGTACGTGGAGCGCCCCCTTGTAAAATTTCTACTCTGAAATTTTAGCCAATAGATTAGCATATTGGAAGTCACTGGCCCAATCGCATACCGTGACAACCATTTCCACAGCATCATCATTAATACACTCCTGCGTTGTTTATCAGAGTTCGCCTAGGCTCTGTTTTTAACTCACTCTGTGTAGGCTGACAACGTTTACTAGGCCCATCGGTCACAGCGGCAGGGGATTTCAGGCTTCAAATCTCTTTTTAGATCAGCGTCTTTGAATGCATTGCAGTTCAGTGCATACCCCATAAGTGGCCGCTTGGTGAAAGGCTGCAAAACTGTTTCTGCATTTGAAAATGAATCTTGACAAGTGTAAACTGGTGGGAATTTTTGGTAGCTTTCCTGGGATTCTTCATATTGTGCTGCCCTCCTTTCTTAGCGCTCCAGCCCCACAGAAAAGTCTGTAAGCAGCCTCCTCCAGGTTCAGCCTCCTCATGCCCACTTGGCCTAGGAAAATTTAACGAGGCTGGTTATGCCAACCTGAGCGTTGTTAACTTGCTCTTCTTGTTGCCCTTGAAACTAAGGTCACGTGGCCTCTGCTTTTGGAGGGTAGTGGAGGCGATATTGGATAGGACAGAGGAGTACACTGTGCCTAACTGAAGTGGCCACGCGGATCTGTGTCCTGTGTCCTGTAGCAACGCCTTTTACGTCCGTTTCTAAAAAGTATGCTTTTACCAAGATCAGCCTCACACGGTTCGCGGGCCTGTCTGGTGGAAGCACCTAGGACTCTGAGGCGCGGAGGGCAGGCGTTGGCAGATTGGAGAGGCCGACACCCGTGTGAGCCCACCTGGGTTTAGTGACTGGGCTTCGGGGAGGACTGCACTGACTCGCAGCGTCTCTTTCCTCCAGAGGCTGCAGCAGAAGCCGCAGCAAGACCATCAGCGGCAGCGGCAGCGGCAGCGGCAGCACCGTGGTCCCTGAGCCCACCGCAGGCTGAAGGCGTTGCTGGCAGTCCATGCTCGTAGGGGAAGTGTGCAGATGGGATTACCATCCACATGGAGATACGGAAGAGGACGGGGCACTGGCACCGTAACCATGGTCAGCTGGGGCCGCTTCGTCTGCCTGGTTGTGGTCACCATGGCAACGTTGTCCCTGGCCCGGCCTTCCAGTTTAGTTAAGGATACCACATTAGAGCCGGAAGGTAAGTTATTTAATGTCACTCGCAGGGGACCACGTTGGTTTGGGGATTTGTCTGGGGAAGTGGCACTTAGGTCAAGGCCTGATTTGGAACCAGCTGGCCTTGCATTGGAAATGAGTCTTCTCGGCGCAAGGGAGAGGGATCGCTCCTTTCTCCCCAGGGCAGAGGTTACGAGGGAAGGTTCGTGGCTGTCAGGCTGCAGGCGGAGTGGTGGGGTTCACTGTCTTCTTGGCGTGTGCATTTCTCTATGCTGGTGAGGGAGGCCGGCAGCTCACCTTTCTCCAGCGCCCAGGAGAGCGGTGGAGGGGACATGTGTGATCAGTGCCAACGAGCGTGCCCTGCGTAGTAGTGATCTTACTGGGGCGAGAGTCTGGCTCACAATGTGAAGAACTGCTGTTTCCCGACAAAAGGAGCCACTAAGGGAAATTGCCAACATCTGAAATGCTGATGTTTCTATTTCATTGTCTAAGGACAAAAACAAGCTTACGAAGTTCAGCACAGAGATACTTGACCCGTTAGATTTCTTTGTGTGTGTGGAGCGGGGTGGGAGGGGCTTGTAATTCATAACCCTTTAGCAATACGTCATAGAGCGGCAAATTCTATTTTAGGTAAATTTGAAAGCAAGCCTGCCTGGGTGTCTCCCTCACCTGTGAGAACTTTCAGATCTAACAGGGCACGTGTTAGGTGGATCAGCGTTGGGAATTTAATTTAAAAGGCCCAAGGCCAGTTGTGAGCACAAATTGAGGCCAAATTATTCAGCTGGGCAGATTGGACCCTCTTTCCCAGGTCCTTCCGTGCCGGCGGCAGCCGAGCCTCTACCCGGCGCAGTGTGGAAATCTGTCATCAGTAGAGAATATTGGTAGCTGAGTTATTTTTCGAGTGGTAATCCGAGAATAAAACGGCAGATCTCTGCACTCATCGCCACTTAATGAACCTGTTTGCCGAGAGCCCACCTGGTGCCTGCTTCGCTCTGGGCGCCCGCCGCGGTCCTGAGTGGTCCGGGGTCAGCTCAGCCATTCTGGAAACGCACCCTGGGAGGTAGGCTGGCAGAGGACAAGAAAGCCCGTCCAGGACAGGGTGGGAAGGTCCAGGACAGGATGGGAAGGAGGGTCACGTTCCTGTTTTCCTGTTGGAAGTGAGAGTGCTGCCTGAGCCCCGCCCCCGCCCCCCCTCCCTCTCTCCCCAGCACCCGCCCTGAATCTAGTGAAAGGATAGGACAGATCTTTCCCTGACAATGGAGGCAGTTAACTACCCAAAGTGGTCAAGAGATTGCTAGTGAGACCGGCGCCCTCTAAGGTATGAGGGCTCTATTACCAACAGGTGTGGTGACATCGCAGTGGCTTCTGCGTCTCCAGGAGGTGCATCTGGTAAGAGCTGGTGTCCGAGGTTCTAGCTGCGACACCCACGGGACTCCCTTCTGGGGACATTAGCTGTGGCACCGGCACAAATGTGATTTGCAATGGAGATGCATTTTCAGAGGGCTTAAGAGGTTCCTGGTTGCAGAACGTCGTGCCTGTACTTCTTTAATTTTGCTAATAATTAAAATGGATGTTTCCCTAATTGCTGGTTTTCCCTTGAGCGCGTGTCTCGGTGCACGTGGAGGCCGCGAAGCTGGGGTTTCCAACAGTGTGAGCCCAGCAGCGGCCCGGGTTAGGAAAAAACTGTCATCTCTCATTTAGACTTTCAGGGCAGCATTATTGGGAGTTTATTTCAACGTAAAGTGTAAAATGGTCCTGGAGGACTTTTATCGTATTTAATTATTGAAGAAGTTTTAAAATGTGTGTGCATGCAGGAAGAAAGAGGTGAGGCAGAGAGGGGAGAAGCAGTGGGCAGGGATGGAGTCCCCCCAGTGGTTCTTTGTGTATAAATTTGTGTCCAGCAACATAATGTTGACAGCGCGTCTTCCTAGCCTGGGATCTGACTCATTGGGGGTTGGGGGCAGGTCCATGAATTCCCCAAAACTGTAGGTCATATTTTGCTAATGTCCTTCTGTGCATTTTTCTGGGTTCATAGTTTTTCTTTTTTTTAAGGTTATATTCATTTATTTATTTTTAGAGGGGAAGGTGGGGGGAGAGAAACATCAGTGTGTGGTTGCTTCTCACATGCCCCCTACTGGAGACCTGGCCCACAACCCAGGCATGTGCCCTGACTGGGAATTGAACCAGCGACACTTTGGTTCGCAGGCCAGCACTCAGTCCACTTGAGCCACATCAGCCGGGGTTGGGTTCCTAGTTTCTATGACTTTGCATCCGGAGTTGTGAGAGGTTAAAAAAAAAGAAAAAGGGTTAGTGAAGGTTTAAAACCCTGCAAAGAAGTGGCTTTGGAAAAGCCTACAAAAACCCCTGGACCTCAGTTTCTCTTTCTGTTACCTGGAGGGTTTGAGAAGATGATCTACAGGGTCCATTTATTAATGTTAAATGAATATTAATATTCTCTGAAGCCTTCTGACTACCTTCCTCAAAAGGTCGCTAGAGTAGGGAGAGCAGTTAGCACAGGGCCGGGCATCTACTAAGCCCTGGGGACACGCTACCATCATTTTCCCCAGTGGGCTGGGCACCCGCGTCTCTCCCTGTCCGGTGGGCTGGCCCTGTCAGTGGCCGTACTTTACTGCAGGTTCCTGCCTGATGGAGGAGGCCTTCCCTGTTCCCAGGCAGCGGTGGGTGCTTCCTATCGGGCCTGCGCTTGGCTTGTTAGCCCAATATTGGCAACAGCCGATAGGAACCCTAAGACGAGTTCTTCCATCACAGGAGTTTTGCTGAGAGGTTATTGGGGAGGAAATCCAGTTAAAAATGAGAAAAGAGTTTTTAACCACTGGAAGCAGGCTGCCCAAAGCACTTCTGGGTTAGGCCATGGTCAAGCTGGGTGAGGGGGCGGGCATACCGACCCCATCCATTTATGGCTTCCTTGGTATTGTCCCTGTAGCTTTGGACAATAGTAAGTTCAACCTTGACCTTCTATAAAGTGCAAGGCCTCATCTTGGAAGATGTTGTGGTTTGCTAATTTGGAAGCTCAATTTAGATAATGTTTGTTGGGCTGGACCAGAAGAAAATGTGTGCAGAGAACAACGTGACTGAGTTCCAGGAAGGGGCCTGAACCCTCACCCTAGAGGACCCTTTTCGAGTCATCTCGGCTTTCTACAATATCATGTCATATCGCCTGTCACTGTGTCCCATCGTCTGTCTTCTGGATACTTTCTGAAGCGGTAACAGTAGGCATGGTGTACTCAGCTGACTGAAGAAAACAGCCTCTAGAAGATTTTAATTGTTAACATTCCAAAGTACAAAATGGGTATTTTCAATTGGTCATTCATTGGAGGGGACCGGCTGGAGGGTAAAAACTCAGTGACTGAGGTCTCGGGGGATAGTCCCCAGTGCCAAGTACTGTCCTATTCATTGTGCTCTGATTAGTTAAAGGGTAGTCAGGCTCGATTACCCTGCGGAGGAGGCAACTCTTACTTTCCCCATTCCTCCTGACTTTGTCACCTACTCCGGGTTAATTAAGTCACTGTTGACATTAATGACATCTTTGTTTACACCAGCCCAGTAGGAGCTAAAATAAAAGGGTTTTTCCAACCCCAAACCCTTAATTACTTTCCCACCCTCCACAAAGTGTGATTCTGAAAAGCAACAACCTGGGAAGAAAGTAGTTTGCATTTTTTTTTTTTTAACCAGTTTTTGGCCACTTTCTGTGAGGTGATGCCGTCCTGGACCAGCCTGAGCTGATCCAAAGTTCAATCGCAGAGAGGTAGGGAGAGGGGTCCACGCGGAGTCCCCCTTAAGTTAGATTATTCCGGTATGGTTTATGTCCTTTGTAAGAGTATTGTAAATGCCATAATGTCAGCCATACGCATTTAATTGCAAGTTAAAAGAAAAGAAAAAAGAATATATCCGCATACCAAGAGTGAATGATTTAAAATAATCTTCTGTTTTGTATTATCTGCATCTTTGTTCCTCAGTATGAGTGTTAATGTTTAAGAGTTGACTGTAACTTGATAGTTAGCTTAGGAACAAGGACTTATTCTTGGTCAATTAAACCAAATGCAGGCTTATGCAGTTAAATACACAATGAGGTACACATTCTTTATTAGTATATAAAGTATTTCACAATTCATAGACAAAGAACTGTGTTTAATATTACTCCTAGAGCAAAAATTTGGCAAGCACAGAGAACTGGTATTTGTATACTTTCTATACTGGCTTCCTCAGACCTGAATTAGGTGTGTGTGTGCTTTGCCTGTTTGTTTTTAACCCTTTCAGACATCGAGTACCTACTACGTACACGACCAGCCCCCAACTAGGCCATAACCGAAGACGTCCAAGTTTTTCCCACCCAGTTAAGGATGAGAATTCAGATAACCAGAGCCATCCAATCCGAGATGTTTTCAGTAGTAGACTTAATGAATAATTACATGGTTATGAAATAACTGAGGTGGTGTTTAAACAAGACAAGTTTTGTTTAATGTTCACATTCTCAATAAAATGTATCTAGTGGCCCTCCAGTTTGTAGTCTGTTAGAGTGTTTACTTACCCAGGGTAATTGTTAAAGGTCTGCCACCCTCTTCCTCTGAGTGTAGCCTTTAAAGGAAAGTGTGGGAAATTGATTTTGGGGTGCCGGTGTGGTAGGCTAAGTAGGAAATGCCGCTGGTGTGCCGCTTCCCACAGTCCTGGTCAGACTGTTAGCATGGTGACTGACTGTGGTAGGCAATTCAGAAATAGTTTTTTTGAAATTTTTTAAAGTGTCCCATGAATGATGGCTCTGCTCCGGTGGGCTCTGTGTGGCTGTGCCTACATGTCCACGGTCTTTATGGTCTATTATTATTGTGTTCTCCTTGGAGGATGACTCCAGCCTTAGGTTTCGCATACTTTTTATCCTTTCGCTACATCCAGGTGAGATTTACAGATGGCTCTACTTTTCCAGCTTTCCTGGCACTGAAATGCTTGATGTTGCTAACCGGGTCACACCCTAACCCCACCTCCTCCTCCCTGTCTTGCCTTCTTAGTGTA